CCTCGGTTCAGGAAAGGGGGGGTCCGGAACCTGCCCGGGTAACCCCCCGGGTCCGGGCCGGGCCTCGGTTCATTGTTTTTTTTGCCTTTTCCTAATTAACCCCTAACCCCCCCCCCCCCCCCCCCCAAACCATCCCAAACCATCTCAAACGACCCAAAATACCCAGCCCAGCCCAAAAACTTAAAAAAAACAAAAAAAAACAAAGAAAAATAAAATAAAATGGCCCGGACCGGGCCCGAACCGCCCAGGCCGGTTCACGTTTTGAGGGGCCCGAACCCGGACCAGAACCCCAGCGGGTCGGGCCTACCCGAACCGGTCACTGACCGGGCCACCGGGCCGGAACAGTGCCGGTTCGGGCCGGTTCCTGGTCGGGCCACCCGGGACGAGTCCACCCCTACAGTGACATGCCGACATGTAAATGACAAATCATAAAAAAAACCAAAAATTTAAACAACATCAATAAAGATGCTCTAGGCCCGCTCTTATCATGTTCACGAACTTTTAATCACTCTTAATTCTTTATCTACTTAAAATGATCAAATATTAGGTTTTACTTGAAGGTCACACTAACTGCCCGTTCACGTCAATCCAAAAAATTTATTATCAAACATCCAATTTACGTTATGCACACGGAATCGTGTAGTAGCAAAGTTGAAGTTAGTTTCTAGGCTAAATTGACTAAAATTGCTAGAGGCCTATTATTAGCTATTTTTCATATAATTTTTTCTTTTTTATTAAAAAATACTCCTATTTTAAAATTGTACCGCATAATTTAGGAGATTCAACGCCCAACAAATCTTTTAACCCTTGAGAATGAATCATGAGTCAACGGATTACGTGCACACATTGTGCCATTGTGGCTTGAGACATACGTGGTGATAAAATACTAATTGAATGATCACACAATCTAGTCCGTGAGGGTTAGAGGATTGTCATTTGAGAAAAACTCTGAAATTCACCAGATTGATGAATTGAACTTAAGACCTCTGTTATTTGTGTCCGCCATTTACTGGCTCTGAAATTGAAATCTTCCGACCAACACTTTTATATATGGCCTAAGTGTTGTGGCCCGACCCGGCCCAGTGAATTGGGCCCGGGACCGAGGCCCGAACCGATCATATGAAAGGGCAGGCTCCCGGATCCGAAAATGGTGGATCGATCCGGCCCATTTTTTCATTAAAATTAATTCGAAAAGATCAACAAAAAATGTTTTCCGACCCGGCCCGGTACCGGTACAAACCCAAGCCGGGACCGGGCCTAAATAATTTGGACCCAGAGCCCGTCCTGGCCCGGGCCCAATCCACCCATATGCATATGTAGATGGCAGCCTTTCAAACACGATTAAATCTCTACCTCTAAGGCTCTAAGGCTTCCCTAAAATCACATAAATTTCTCCGTATTCTCATCAAAGTTAATCGCACGTTGTGTATTTTTTACATAGAATGAAGGAGTCGTCCTCAAAATCAGATGTAAAATTTAGTAAGTAAAAACTAAAGTGATGGAGAAATATGGAGCAAAAGCCAAGGTTATAAAACAATTTTGGTATGGGTATCCCAAAAGCCAAGGTACCCCATATTTACCCCATATAAAAACCTTCCCCACTTTTATTCTCTCCCCCCCCCCCCTCCCTCCCTCTTTCTCCTGCACCCCCACCTCTCTTCCTCCCTCCCTCTCCTCTTTTTTCACGTACCCCCTTCCCCTTTCTTCTCCATTTCAAGATATTTCTCCTTCTTTAAAACTTCCCATTTTTACCATTTTTACCACCCTTCAACCTCCGATCTTCTCATGCTTTTCTCCTCTTCCACCGGTGACGTTGCCGACGGCGGGCCTACGCCGGTTGCCGTTTCGGATGCAACCTCAAGGGAAGACAGCGACGAAGACATACCAAGAAACTTTGAATAGATTGAGCAATAGATCGGTCTTCTTTTCTTGATTTTGTTTTCTTGAGTTTTGATGTATTTTTGAAATAAAAGGGATTGTCTGTCTAACAGACAACTTGTAAGTGCAGTGTCTGTAAGAGTCGTGAAATTGTCTGTCATTTGAAAACTAAATGTCTGTAATTGATATTTAATTGTTTGTCATTTGTTTATTAGTTGTTTGTATTTGTTTTGAGTTGCCTGTCATGTTGTTGTGAGGTGTCTGTAAGAGTCGAGAAGTTGTCTGTAACTCATATTTAGTTGTTTGTCATTTCATTGTGAGTTGTATGTAATTTGTGGTGAAAAATAATGTCTGTCTGGTTATCTCTACTGTCTGTCTAGTGATACGTATTGTCTGTCTTTTTTATGAAACATATGCCAAAATGGTAATTCACAATAAAGTAGTGTCTGTATGTGTATACTTATTGTTTGTATGTGTATATTTAATGTCTGTCTCGTTATACTAATTACATCTCAAATTACATACAGACAACTCAAAACAAATACAGACAACTAAAAACATTTACAGACAACTCAAAACAAATGAAGAACAATTAACCATCAATTACAAACAGACAGACAACTTCACGACTTTTACAGACACTGCACTTACAAGTTGTCTGTCAGACAGACATCCTTTTTATTTTGAAAACACATCCAAAAAACAAGAAAACAAAATCAAGAACAAGAAATCAAGAAAATAAAATCTGGTCTCAAGTCATTCCAAACTTCTTGGTCTACACCTTCTTCGTTCTTTCTTCTTCACCAAGCTCTCCCCATTCGCCCGACTAGTGTAGCTCCGCCATTTGAAACGGAAAAAAAAAGGTGGAAGAAGAGAGAAGCAAGAGAAGAAGGTTGGAGGAGGAAAAGAAGGTAAAAATAAGAAACCTTAAAGAAGGGGAGATCTAGAAATGGAGAAAAGAGAAAGAGAAAGGGGAAGGGATGAGGCTGTGTGAAAAGATAAAAGAATCAGGGGAGAGAGAGGGAGGGAGGGGAGGGAAAAAGTGGGGGAGGAAGGGAAGGAAAAAAGTGGGGAGGGTTTTTATATGGGGTAAACATGGGGTACCTTTTTGGGGTACCCATAGCAAAATTGATTATAAAAAGGGCGAGCTGAGATACCCGAAGAAGAGAAGCATGGGTAGATAAAGGAAAATTGGAATACAAACAGATCAGCAGATTCTTAAACACTAAGAGGCCGTTTGGCAACTTTTTCGACTTATCAGGCTTATCAACCAACTTTTTCACCAAACACATAACTTCTGTTTTCACGCGTTGAATTGTGTAATAAGCAGAAAAAGTAAGGTTGGAGTTACTTTTCTGACTGTATTGGCTGAGGTTACTGTAGATGACCATTTCAGCTATTTTTATATATAATTTTTTCTTTATTTTATTAATAAAATATATTTTAAAAATAATTTTTCTTAAATCAACAGAATCAGCCAATGCAACTACTTCAGCCAGAACTTCATAAATTTCAGCAGAATCAGCCGATTTTCTTGCTTCTAAACGGGCTCTAAGAGCGGATTTAGAGACACTATTTTTCGGCTTATCAGGTTTATCAGTCAACTTTTTCACCAAACATGTAACTTTTGATTTCACGTGCTAAATTGTGTAATAATAAAAAACAAAAATTGCCCCAAATAGGAGTAAAAACATTTTGAAATTCCAAGATAGGACTATAATGTTTTTTATTCCTTGAATATGAGTAATCTGCCAAGTTTGGAAAAAATATGTCACGTTTAAAGCCCAGTAATGCTGAATTTAGGGAATTTTCTCTTTAAAAAAAGGTAAGATTATAATTACTTTGCTGGCTGTATTCACTGAAGTTAGTGTAGTGGATCATTTTAGCTATTTTTCATATAATTTTTTTATTTATTTTATTAATTAAAAATAATTTAAATATTTTTTCCATAAATCAACAAAAATAGCCAATTCAATCACTTCAACCAAAACTTCATAAATTTAAGAGCAGAATCAGCCGATTCTGTCGATTTCAGTGTTATCAAACGGGCTCCACAGCCTCCATGGTTGTCAACTTTTTCCATTTTGAGTGTTTGAGGCAAAAAGCTAAACCAAAAAAGCCATTAACCAAACACTTTTGCTTAATCATTTGTTCAAAAGGGTAATCATTAGTCAAATCAACTAAAAATAGCTAAAATGACTTGTAGGGGTGTTTGGAACTGATTCTGCTTCTTTTTTAAAGTAGAAGCAGAATCAAAATCAGTTTCCAGAAGCTGGTCACCCCCAGCTTCTAAAAAATCTGATTCTAAGAGTAAATTAGAGCACCATAATCACTTATGCACTTTCACCCAAACATTCCAGCTTCTGCTCCCTGAAGGAGCAGAAGCAGTTTTAAGAATAAGATCCAAACACCCCCATAGACTATCAATCAAACACCCCTAGAACTCACTCCACAGATCTGGATAAAGGTCTAACATTTTGGGACAGAGAAAACTGTCAAATAGGTCCTCGAACTTTCATAAAAAGGTCAATTAAGTCCTTCTATAGGGGGTTCTGTCCGGCCGTCGCGATTTGGGGCAGTTCCCGATGAATTTTTTTGATGAAATTTTTTAGCATCTTATTCATCAAGTCTAGTTTACTCATACTAAATTTCAGCTAAAAATTCAATCGGGAACACATTCAAATTAATTCTTGAAGATAACTGCGCATTTTTGCGTTCTCGAATTAATTTGAATGCGCTCCTGATTAAATTTCTAACTGAAATTTAGTATGAGTAAACTAGACTTGATGAATAAGATGCTAAAAAAATTTCATCAAAAAATTCCACCGGGAACCACCCCAAATCGCGACGACTGGACAGAGTCTCCTATAGAAGGACTTAATTGACTTTTTTATGAAAGTTCGAGGACCTATTTGACAGTTTTCCCTTTTGAGACACGATCCCATGAATAACAGAGTTTCTTCTGAGAACGTATTACACATGAGGGTAAATTCTGAGAACGTATTACACATGAGGGTAAATTCTCCAGTTCCATACTTTCCATGCAAAAAAAACAATCATGTTTGTACTGGTATACAACTTTTTGGGTCAGAGAGAAATATTTTATTTATATTAATAGATATGGCGTATGCGTAGTGAAATTATTGTAAGATAAAATGAAAGAGACTAACTAAAAAGACAAGCAATATGTAAATATATTTATGAATAATTTTGGCATATTACCATTAATCAATAGATGCCCAAAGACTGTACATGTTAACCCGGTCTCTTGCCCATAGCAAGAAAACCAAACACTGCACTAAATTAGAACACAGCCGAACTCGATCCATTAAAACTAGTACGAAGTATACCCAATCCTACGGGGCAGCCACTGTTGAGACCCCCCCCCCCCCCAAACAAAAAACATGCGCAATAAATCATTTTTTCAAAAAAATAATTGATGTACCAAGTTGTTGCTTCGCATAGAGTCCCCCATGAGCAGCTAGGAAGAGTAGAGCTGACGCACCAATGCGAGAGGTGTGATGGAATGTGATATATATACTGGGGGGAGAACGAAAGGAAAAACTAAACCAATGCAAGTTCCTCATCCTCCTCTTGTTGTTGCGGTTGTTGGTTAGTGAGCCGAGCTTCACGATAGGGAAGTAGAATTCGCTTGATTTCATCAGAACTCAATGTCTCGTACTCGAGAAGAGCATTGGCTAAAGCATGCAATGCCTTCTCGTGCTGCAAGGAAACGCACATACACAGAATAGTGAGCATAAAAATGCATCTCACAAGTCACAATAACTAACAGCTACTGAGCTACCAAGTTCATCCTTTATAGAGTTGGGTGGTTAATGTTGCTTCTTTCATTTCTAAATAAATCTCAACCACGCCATTTATATTTCTGAAATTCGTATGACAAAAGAAATATGAAGTTTATTGTGGTACGGGGGAGTAATTAACTAATCACTGTACTCCAAGGAGGTGTTGTTTTCTATCATTTTTAATGGGCACAATTATTATAAATTAATAAGACCAAACCTTCTTTAGCAGATTCTTAACACGATCATAAGCTTCTCTTAGGAGTTTAACTACCTGCAAAACCAACAATAGCATTGCTCCAAAAGTTCATTGCTATCCCATAAAGACAGTTAATTGCTCCAAAAGAAATCAACACAGTTCATTGCTCCAAAAGAAATTAACATGCTATCCAAGTCAGACATACCTCAGCATCAATGCGTGATTGCATTTCCGCACTTGCCCGCTCTTTGATATGAACTGGTCCAATTGTGTCACTCATCCCGCAAGATGATACCTAAATCAAGTATGACACCGTTGGGATTATAACGGGCAAAATGCAAAAATAATAACTACACAGAAAAATTAGAATAAGAAGAGGACCAGACAGTCACAATAAATGAATCATAAGATCCCATTTGGGACTCTAAAAATGAAAAAGAACATCTACAGGAAATATAGGGTCATTATTTAAGGAGACAAAATGTAGAGGGTGATGATGATGATGATAATAATTGATTTTTGAATGTCAAATCCAATTTATTTATTGTTCGTATGTTAAGCTAAAGGCAAACTATAAAAAATGAACTTTTCTTTTCCCCACTATTTTCTTAGTTTCGAACGCAGCCCTAGAAAATACCAAAGTGGGAGCACACAAAAAATAGAAGATTTGCTTCATATAGAAAGAGTTGTACCATGTACTGCGCAAGTTCAGTAGCAGTGTGAAGATCACTACTAGCCCCAGTGGTTATATGGTCTACACCAAAAACAAGCTCTTCGGCAGCTCTTCCTCCCATACAAACGTCAAGCCGTGCTAATAACTGTTTTTTGCTGATTGAACTTTCATCATTCGAAGGGAGCTGTGTGACCATTCCCAAGGCGGACCCACGTGGCATAATAGTTGCCTTATGGATCGGGTGTGCACCTTCTGTGTTCATGGCCACAATTGCATGTCCACTCTCGTGATATGCAGTTAACTGAAATGAATCCAAATAACAACTCATTGTTTTTCATTTTTGCTGAAATATGTATTTTTCCTGCAAATATAGCATTGATATAGATCCTTGCAAACTAATTTATTAGTTATTCATCATTTTAATTTGCACTTTTTTCTTTTTAGTCCCTAAAACACGGGCATAGCTCAGAACTCTAGTTTAGCCTTTCTAATTCAAGTTTTTGTAGACTACAACTAATCCTACTATAAGGGGAATTAATGCTTAGAAAAACTCACCCTGCCCAATTTAATTTATGTCGCTTTAGCTCTTTGGAAATAAAATATTACGCATTCCTTCTTTAAAAAATAACGTGAATAACCATATCAAGTTATGTGATGCATATATGTTTTTTAGCATAAGCTAACAGAGAGACTAAAAGAGCCTAAATTGTAGGGATGAATAATGAGTTCAAGAAGGGCTCAAGAGAAATTATATATTTGCATTGATGAACATAATTAAGCCATTTTGGGGAGGAGGGCAGGGATGAATATGAAGAAGCCACATTGAGCACACACCTTCTTTGACTCTTCAGATAGGAACATTGTCTTGCGTTCTGTTCCCATCATTATTCTGTCTTTGGCAAATTCTAGTTGCGATGAAGTCAACTTCTCCGCACCATCAACAGCAGCCTTAATTGCAGCAATATTGACCAGGTTTGCCAAATCTGTTTGGTAATGGTGCATTTTTAATAAGCGGAGAAATGATCTAACTGGGAAAAGAAAAAATATAAAACCAAATATATACCTGCCCCATTGAACCCTGGTGTCCCACGAGCAATAGCATTTGCATCAACATCAGAATCAACTGGCTTGTCCTTTAAATATAGCTCCAGTATTTCTTGACGACCACGTACATCTGGATTTGGCACAACAATCTGAAATGAAGAAAAACATGTGAATTAATACTAGTCTATTTTAATGATATCACACCGTTCAAAATACTTTCTCAGTATTAATGCAGAAAACAAATGTAATGCACGTGACATACTTACGTAAAATACTTATGTAAATGTAAAGATAAAAATTCATGTGTCCCAATCTATTTATCGTTATAAGAAATTACACACAAACCAAAGTAATAATTAGAAAGAATTACCTATCCCTATTTATAATATCTTATGCTTATCTTTATTATTCAATATTCTTAGAAATTAGAAACTATCAATTTTCCTCACAAAGTCTCAATGATTTTGTCTTCCTGTATCAAGATGTGGAATATGAAGGTATTTCATATTCTAGAGTAATGTAATCAATTACTATTATTCTTGTTTCCAATACTTATCTTGCAATTACTAACTTTTCAGCTTAACAAAATTAGATATGGACAATAAGTGAAGAAGAGTAAACATCATATCTTCAATTCCTAGAATGACAATTATTATGGGAGACACTTTTAAGGTTAAAGTGAAAAATAGTTTGGGACAGAGTGAGTAGTAAAATATAGCTGCTAGCCTGCTAAAAAAGATACAAAAGTGAAAGGACTGACATGTCTATCAAATCTACCCGGCCTAGTTAAAGCTGGGTCAAGTATATCTGGCAAGTTTGTGGCAGCCATCAAGATAATACCCTGTGCATATGTTAGAAGGCGCTATTTAGTTGCGAACTCAAAAGAGGAAACCAATTAATGCATCACATGTATAGAAGAAACCAACCTCATTCTGCTCAAACCCATCCATTTCAACAAGTAACTGATGCAGTGTTTTCTTGGTATGACCTTCCCATTGCTTCCGAGTTGACCCAATAGCATCAATTTCATCAATGAATATTATGCAAGGAGCCTGAAAAGCCAGACATGAATAGGACAGGTGAGAAAAGCAAGGGCACCTTAGACACATACTATAATTATTACTTTTGTATCATTCAGAACAAAAAGAGACTAGAATACGAAAAATTAACAGAGGATAGTTTTAGAGGACATGATAACACTTTGGAATTTGGAAAAAGGTTGTGAACGATAAAACCTGCTATTGAAACTGTTCACTATTTATATTTGGCTTCGACTTAATAAATCCAAAGGAAAATTGATACGGAAAAATGATTTCTTTCCTTCTATTTCTCTAGTTCCAAACGGACCTTAAATAGATAGAGTTGGCTAAAACTGAACCTACCTTCTTCTTAGCTGCTTGAAACAGTGATCTAACACGTCGGGCACCAACCCCCACAAACCTGCAGTAGAGAAAAGCAAAGTTGTTGTATGACATTACACTTCAGCGAACTTGGTGCTTAGGATATGTTTGGATCGCGTAAAATGCTATGGAAATTTTTAAAAATGCCAAGTTTTATTCTTACAGATTTGGTTTTGCATGTTTAGATCCTGAAAATGACAAATAAGGTTATTGTCTAATGTTGGTTTTACTTTGAAGAAATGCAAAGTAAAACAAAATGTAATAATTTTTTTTAACACTTTGCATGAGTTCAGATTTTTTAATCTTTATATAATAAGAACAACTACATAAAATGTGTTTGAACAAATATCTAAAATCAATTATTGAGTTTGTGTATATATTTTATTTCCCCCAAAATTTCGTTCCTTCAATACTCTCCTGTATTTTCTTCCATTTTTGTTCCCTGATAATATCCAAACAAACCATTGAGAATGAGGTTAATACAGTAAATACTGCATCTATTCCTAAAACTCCCAAGGGAGAGAAGTTATAATACATCTCTTCAAACTCAGAGCCTGCTTTGTAGAAGAAAGGAACCCCTGCTTCTCCCGCAATAGCCTGCAAAGCAAGATGCATCAAAGACTAATAAGCAGATGCATACAATTTACTACTATGTCCATCAAAAACTCACAAAGCAGATCATACAAGATACATCTAATCCTAATAAGCAGATGCATGCAATGTACCTTATGTACTACGGAGTACAACTTATATCAATAAGTTATATCAATAAGTTGTGAAAATTTACTCCAACAAAACTCCTACAGACTACAGTAACCACGGAAGTCCACAATTAAATGCCACATTGATCTATAAGAATAATATGAAGTAAAAACCAACTTAATCTACCAATGTATCAAATTTCAGATATGAACCTCAATTGAGTCCCAAATAGTTCACACGTAAAACAGAAAACTTACTTTTGCCAGTAAAGTCTTTCCTGTTCCCGGAGATCCAGTCAATAAAATACCCTGAAAAGACAAAAACACATCATGGTCTTATTAATTTAACAATTTTCTTCAAAAAAAGCAAATTTTAACAATCTTCATAGCTAACATAAGAATGTGCAAAAGATTTATGACTAAAAATAAGAACCTTGGGCAATTTGCCCCCAAGCCTGGTGAACTTGGTGGGATTCTTAAGATATTCGACAACCTCCTCAAGCTCTTCTTTGGCATCATCGCAACCTTTGACATCTTTGAATGTTTTGACATTCTGTATCACAAAACAAAGAAAAATGAAATTTATTCTTCTAATTGGTAAATCTCTCAAAGTGACATAACCAAGAAAACCTGATACCTTTTCGGGCACTACTTCCTTATTCAACTCTTTTGGAGAATAAGATGAGCTTGAACCAACACTTGAAGCACCCACACCGCCTAAGCCACCAATATACTTTTGAGCTGCTGAAGCCGTCACATACCTATTAATAAGGAAGGAACAGTTGATGATAATTCCGTGTAAGGATCTTACACATCTATGCAAATTGTATGTAGTAAAGATTGAAGAGAATGGTTACCATAACAAACCAACAGCAATAGCAAATATAACGGTGGAGATAAGCTCATGAATGAGGCGTGGCGATTTTTTTGACTCATTAGGATCAACCTGATCACAAAACAGACATTAAAATGGACTCCAATATGTTCAACAGAACCTTTTGAAATAAAGAATAATGGGTTAAAAATCTAAAACTATAATACATCAGTTGCTCCAATACTTTATATGATTGTAATATAAATTTATCTTTATCAGACTTCAAAAAACATATTTTAATTAAGACACTAAATCTTACCATGACCACATGCAACGGCTGCCTTTCCGAAACACCCGGGTTTAAAATGGGGTCATCCAGCTTCCCTAAAGCGCGTTGTTTCAACTCTTGTAACTGCATGTAGCATGTTAATTTTTAACTCAATAAAAAGAGAAAGCGAAATGCGGTTCTGGAGTCTTAACACCAAAAATTTCTTAGACAACTACCCATAAATTAATGATGAAATTTTTAAGAGTACTCCCGCTGTCATTAAATTACAATTACATTTTTTCCAATATAAGAGTCAATCTTTAAAATGAAATTTTCTTTTTGTAACTATGTAAGTAACTTCTTGTAAAGCCAAGTGGGTTGCTGTTTTAGTCAATTACTCCAAACAACCTATGAAATAAGCTTTATGGCTACAAGTCACCATGCGTAATTTGTAAGAACACTTGTGCTTTAAATGAGTTGACTAAAAGTAAACTATTGTACCTTACACAAAGTCACAAACAAGACTCTTTATTCAGTCGGAGGAAATATTTCTCACCATATGGAATCCATAAAAAAGAGGTGAGAAACAGAACTTTTCACCAACTGAAGAAAATCAAGAGTTATACAGCAATGCTAGGGAGACTATGAAAGCATAAACGTAAATACAAAATTTTAAACAGGTACCCACCAATAATGGCAGAGTGGAAGGCTTTCCGGAACCCTCGTCAGGAAGATACTCAGCAATAGCATTAGTGGCAACAAGAGCTCGGAGATATTCTGCAACTCCTCTACTGTCTACCGCATAGGTCCTATCCTCAAACCGTTTGATGACTAACTCCGGGCTATGCAAATAAGGAACACGTTAAAATGCTCTAAATAAATCATCTCAAAGAATTATGTTTGGAACCCCCATCAAAACCTTGGTATCTTTTTTTAGAGAGAAAACCTTGGTATCTTATTTGACAATCAATCCATTTTTTCTTGATTTGGCTGAATAAACCAATCACCTATTCCCCCTCCCGACCCAACACCATTTCCTAGCACAGCAACAAGGAATTTTGTTTATAAGGTGGCTTTTTACTGTACTGACAGACTAGATAACTAAAGTTTATGAAATGAATTAGGATAAGAAGAGCTTAAACAAAGCCTAACCTGTTCTTATTAAGCTCAACCAGCAAATCGCTTTGCTTTTTAGCATCTTGAGGGAATGAGTTAGCCTCTGCAGTCAAATATTTCAGCCTCTTTTCACGCTGCCACATCAACCCCCAACCTAACAGCTCGGGCGGAAACAGCAGCCTTTTCTTGATCTCCCCCAAGAACCACATCCCGAAGGGAAGGTTCTCCTCGTTCTCCAATATCAAACCCTCTGATGCGACATCTCCTTGCACTTCCTCCGGCTCAGCTCTATCTTCAACTGTGGTGGATTCTGTAGCCTCCTGGTTTTCGGATGAACAGTCAGGAGAAGAATTCAAGTTCTCCGGGCGCAATGTGCAAGTCAATCTGAGGTGGCCGGAAAATAGATGTTTTCCGGAAGCTCCTCGGAGGGGGCGCCTAGAAGAGGAAGGGAAAGAAGACGAGAAAGCTAGCGGCTTGAATAAACACGAAGTTTGCAGCGCCGCCGCAGTCATTGGGCTCTGATGGGGTAAAGTTCCGGATTTGATCCAACTGAAACTGATGGGAGGGAGGGTTTAGCGACAGACTGATTCTTGGTTCAATCGCAGGAAAGATACGATCTTTGTTTTGTGGAAGGGAAAAGTGAGAGCGATTCTTTGCTCGCAGTTCCTTCTCAATAGAAAGCGGGGAAGGAAGCGTGCGAGTTGGCCAGAACTCAGAAGATTGGGTTTTCGGGATACGTTTGACACAAAACACTGTCACCTTATCTTCAGCAAGAGAAATTAGACTGTGATTTGGCGCTTTTCCATATCCATATATGAGAGCATGAACCGCAAAATGGGTCCTCAATCTTCACTTCCTTTTGATTTTTTGATACATATGAGGGGCAAAGTTTTGAATATACTTCGTATGTTTAAAAGTGAGGATATGACAAGTGTAAAAATATCCCAACTTTTCTATGAAGAAGCAAATCAGAACAAAATTAGAACAACCTAATTAAAATAAGGCTAAAGGGTCAAATAGGCACATGAACCAACTTAAAGTGTTCAATTAGCCCCTTATATAGGAGGTTCTGCCCGGCCGTCGCCAATTGGGGCGTTTCCCGGTGGAATTTTTTGATGAAATTTTTTGAGCATCTTCTTCATTAAGTCTAGTTTATCCATACCAAATTTCAGCTAAAACTTCAACCGGGAAGGCAGTCAAATGATTTTTTGAAGATAACTGCACAGGTAAACAACGCAGTACATTTTGGAAAATCATTTGACTTCCTTCCCGATTTAATTTTTAGCTGAAATTTGATATGAGTAAACTAGACTTAATGAAGAAGATGCTAAAAAAATTGATTAAAAAATTCCACCGGGAACCGCCCCAATTGGCGACGGCCGGACAGAACCTTCTATATAAGGGGCTAATTGAACACTTTAAGTTAGTTCATGTACCTATTTGACCCTTTAGCCTTAAAATAATAGTCTACTTTCTGGCATTTTAATATCCCTAACTTTTCTATGACTTCAAATAAAAAATTAAAATGCCAAATAAATACATGTGTTGAGTTCGGATAATGAAAATATTTAAAATGAAAATTTTGTTTTTCTTAAAATTAAAACAACCTATATGAAAAATGTTATGAAACTGAATAAAAAGAAAGATTTGTTTTATGTTAAAAGTTTTTCGTTCTAATTTTACATTGCAAAATTATTATTTTTCTTTTCTCAAAGAAGCATTTCAAAATTATAAATGTTAATTTTAGTATCATGGCAAAATTTTGAATACATTATTCCAAGATTTTAAACACCATTTTTGGGTATTTTTTAAATTTAATAAAATAAAATTCACTATATTGCGATCGACTAATTAAAACTAGTGGGTCAATTCTCATAAATCAATTGGGCTTTCAAATTAAGTATGATGGGTCATAATTGTCATTGAGCCTCTTTAATTGATACCCAGACTCATTTGATCCAATTTGGCTATTCATGATGACTTTTGGGCCTTATAAAAAAGAAAATGGTGATATGAATATTTTGAGAGAGAGAGAAATATAGCTGTGAAAGCTTTTCACTTCTAGTTATTGCATCTTTGTAAAAATATTAAATTAAATATCATAAAAACGTTATAAATATTGATCTCATCTTTAATTACAAGCTCTATAATTTAATGTCCGTCCAACACATTGTTTAGTGCAACTCTACAAGGGGAGATTATATTCACAAACCTCATGTTTCTAGATAATGCCCCCAAATAAATTTAGTATAAATATCTAATTTTCCAAATACAACTTGCAGTGCTCTTCAAATAACATTAAGAGCATCTACATTCATGATTTTAAAATAAATGGTTTTTCTATTACACATCATTATCACATCACATTTATTCAATAAATTTTAAATGATCTCATATCTTACAACTTTTTACCAACCGTGATACTCAAATAATTAGCTTTTTAGACCATGCATTAAATGCAATTTAACTACAATCTAAAATAATCCGGGATTCAAATCTTGATACCAGATTTTCTTTTTCAATAATCTCTATAAATAACCTGTCACTCACAATGATAATGTTTAAAATAATCTTACACATCATTCAATTAAAACTTAAATAATCTAAGGAATGAGGATGCCCTAGGCACTCTCTGCACACTCTACATAGTGTGTCGCGCGCATACCCACCACGAGAAGAGAATTGGATCACACAGTGGATTAGGGTAATGCCCTGGTACCACATGAGTTCATAATCGAATGAAAGAGTTGGCTCCAAAAGTTTGCAAATTTAGAAATGCTTGCGTTGAAACCAACAAATAACTTTTTTTGCTGAAGATGTTACTAGATCCATTGATCAAGTAAACAGTGTTAGTTTAAAAGTTAACATCAAGTATGGAAAATGAAATAGTAACTCGGTCATAACATAGTAGCATTCACGGTATTTGATCGGAAGCTTCTTATTTGTTTATGTAGCAAAATTTCATCAAAAGATCGTAGATCAGAATTCACCAAAAAAGGAAATAAAATAGCACCAAAAGCAGGGGCGGAGCCAGTACACTGGGCCGGACTGGGCCGGTACAAAGAATATTTTTGGAAAAAATTTCACACGGAATTTTTTACACTAAAAATATAGAGATTTTTAAAATTTGGGCTGGGCCAGGGCCAGGGGTGGCCACCCCCTAGCTCCGCCCCTGACCAAAAGGTTTTTCAAATAGAAATATATTTTAAAAAATGAATGGGTCATTGTGCTTAACTAACTCAACAAAAAGGATCTTTAAAAAAAACTCAACAAAAAGGATCAAGGCAGATTGTAAGAAAATAACTCAGAAAGTTTTTTCACTCTCTCTAATCATGATAGTTGTTTTGCATAAAAAAGTTCATTTAAATTTAAATCATATCAAACTATTTGAAGCAGATAATAACTGAGTCCGCATACCGTACAACCAAATTTCATGGTGCAAATTGTACAACGAGTGCCATTTTGGTAATTTAAGTGAAATTCGTGATTTATTCTAAATGAGTACCGATGCACGTCTAGTGAACATTAAATCTATCCTAATGAGTATCGAAAGTCTAATAATGACTATCGTGATATCGAATTCATATCATATAATTCACTTTCTTTTTCTTATTTTTTTAAAAATATTTACATAGAACATATATAAATCCAACATGTGAACTTAGTGTAATATTATACTTTTGATATTTACATGAACATGACATTTTAAAATGTATATTATACCAATATCAAATGAGTATACATAAATTACGAAATGAGCTTGGAAAAAAATCAAAAAGCTCATTACAAATGTCTACCGTGCTCACAATTTCATGTGCGTGCACTCATATCTATAGAACTATGTACTATAATTTGGGTTTCTCCTAAGTCACGACCAACATATGACCAAATTCACTCACCAAACCTGCGTAAAAGAAAGAGAAAAATAAAGAGAGTACAAAGAAAGAGAGAGCTAGGAGATGCAAGTAGCCCTATACACACCCAACAAAGCCGCCTTGTCCACGCAAACTGGAGTTTGAGGTGCTACTTTCAAAATGTGGAACTGCTTCTGCTAAAAAAAACACTTTTGGAGATGTAAGGAAAACATGATTAGTAGTAAAAGTTGATATTGTTTGAGAAAAAAATGATTTTGAAAAGTAAAAATTGGTAGTGTTTGGTAAATAAGTGCATTTTTTAAGCCAAAAGCTGAGAAGTTCTTTTTTTTCTAAGTTGTTTCAAACCTTCCCTAAACAAAGGACAATTCTAAAGAGTTTTTGCCATTTTTGGCCCCCGACTATTATGTCAATGACACTTTTGGTACTCGACTTCTAATTTTTCCATTTTTAGTCTTCTACTATTGTGCTAGAGACACTTTTAGTCCTCGACTTTAAGATTTCCCACATCTAGTCCCTGAGTATTGTCAAATTAACACTTTTAGTCATCTCACTATGATTTCGACACAGTAAATGGAGGACTAAAAATGTCACTGTTATAACAGTTGAAGGACCAAAAATGTCACTTTTATGAAAGTTGAAGGACTAAATATGGAAATTTTCAAAGATGGGTACCAAAAGTGTCTCTAGCGCAATTAACAAGGACTAAAAATGGAAAAAATCAAAGTCGAGTACCAAAAATGTCAATGACATAATAGTCAGAGGACTAAAAGTGGAAAAAAATTCCAATTCTAAACAAACACCCACCTTTCCTGATCACATTTATGCCCTTGAACTTAACGCCGTCCGAGTTTAGACGAACACCAGCTCATATCCACATGCTCCAATCCAGACCAGTTTTGCCTGAACTTTCCAAAAACAGGGAGAAGTGAAGAACCATTTCTCCGGCGAGCTAGCAAGCCGAAAGGGCTCAACGTGACGAGGCGTGCGGCCGAGTTCATAGATATATATCCACAATCAGTTAGGCAAAAACAGATCGGGTGTGGAAGTCAAGCTAGCAGCGATAGTCGTCGACCGAGAAAGAGAAGACCCGTTGTTGGACTGAATTGAAAGCTCTCTTGAGAAGGCGACTAAGAAGGCTAAGAAGTTCTCTAACAAGCAAGTAAGCCTCTACCTGGATCATTCTCTTCCCTTACCTAGCTCGCCGTCCTGTCTCTCTGTTTTCTATATTTTACGAAATTGCCTCATCATTTCTTCCCATTGAACTGGAACATGTATATCTTGAATTGATTTGGAATTGAATTGAAATAGGTAGGGGTTTATAGTAATTTAGAAAAGGGTGGATTGAAGTCAATCATTCATAGGAAGTAAAAAAAGAAAATTCCCTGCCCCTTTCTCTTTATAAGCCAATTCAGTAGTACTTGCTTCATGAACCTTATGGGAAAAAATGACTAGAAAGTTTACTTATAGAGTTATAGCTGTTGCTTTATTAACCTAATGGGAAAAAACTACCAGAAAGTTTTAGCTACGATTTTCTTCCCTCTTTGAGTGTTTAATCTGATTGTTTGTTGCAAATGGGAAAAATTTGCCAGAAAGTTTGGTTACAGCTGATTGTGGGTATTGTTCCAAGTCAAGAAGAACTGCCCTCCCAATTTATTTTGGCAATCTTCAAGGGAGCACTGTTACTAATACTACTACTTTATTAGTGCACTGCGATAAATTAATATATTGATGTAATTATTTACAAATACAACCCGGTTGGCATCTTTATAGAAATAACAGTGAAACCGTTCTTGTTGTTAACAGGGGAGAGTAGCATCATTTATGTTTGCTAAGCATATTCTTCGATTTCTTTTACTTCACGGATAAGCATAAATGCTTTTAAAGAATTTATGAATATGAATAGTTGGAATATACTATATCTCCATATCACAACAATGTGGTTGGTAACTTGACAAGATCAAATAATTAGAAATCATTAATTGCACTTGTATATGTTTACAAGCCATTGGTTGTTTAACAAAATTTAAAAATGGTATTCAAGTAGTCACCCCATTGTCTTTAATATGATTGCTACTTGTTACTTGTGAGGATCTTTTCAATATTATCCAATTTATTATAGATGTGGTGAATTGTTGTAGAGTTGAATTTGTTATGCTATTTTATTTGCCTTTGATGAAAACATCCATGCTGGTAAAATATTTGTAATATTACTTTTTGTAGTTTATGAAGTTGAAGTTATTTTATACTAGTACTAGTATGTACTAATTTATTGGCCTATGCTCAATTGAAATGCTAGACCCGCTCCTGCTTATGAAATTGACGTCCCCAAGAGTTTGGAAGCACAGTAGGTGGAAAAGAAACTGCAGCACTGCCATCGGCCAATGGCCTGAATCAGACGTCGTTTCCATCAACACTAGCATTACTGAGCTTGCCAAACGCGGTCATCTTGACAGAGCACGCGAGCTATTCGATGGAATGCGTGAAAGAACCGTCGTCTCATGGAACACCATGATCTCTGGATATGCCCACTGGAGAAAGTACATCGAAGTTTTTACTTTGCTTTCCTTAATGCACCGCAGCAGAACAAAGTTTAACGAGTCCACACTTTCGTCTGTTCTTAGTGTTTGCGCTCATTCAGGATCTTTCTGCAAAGGAAAGCTGCTACATGGCTTGGTTTTGAAGTCTGGATGCGAAAACTTTAAGCTTGTTGGGAGTGCTCTGTTGTATTTCTACTCAAGTTTTTATGAAGTTGAAGACGCGAGGAAGGTGTTTGATGAATTTCACCAATGGAATGAGCTGCTTTGGAGTTTGATGCTCGTGTGTTATGTACAGTGTAACCTAATGAACGATGCTTCAAGGATCTTCAGCAAAATGCCAACTCGTGATGTTATTGCCTGGACTGTATTGATCTCCGGATACTCGAAAACTCAACAGGGATGTCAAAAGTCTTTGGAGTTATTCTCACTGATGAGGAACGGAGATGACGTGGCACCGAATGAGTTCACTTTGGATTGCGTGGTAAGAGCTTGTGGTAGACAGGGTGATTTACCAGAAGGAAAGGCCCTTCATGGGCTGGTAGTGAGGTTTGGTTTTGAACTAGACCTTTCAATATGCGGAGCACTTATTGATTTGTATTGCAATTGTATGGAGATGGATGATGCGAAAAGTGTATACAACCAACTGAAGAATCCTTGCGTGAATGATTCGAATGTGTTGATTTCTGGTCTTGTCATGGCGGGAAAGATTGAAGAAGCTGAATCTGTTTTCAGAGAGTTGATTAATAGGAATCCAGTTTCATACAATTTGATGTTAAAAGGGTATGCTTTGTGTGGCCAAGCTAACAAGTCAAAGGATCTATTTGCTGAAATGCATGAAAGACCATTAACTTCCACAAATACAATGATCTCTGTGTATTCCAGGAACCATGAGATTGAGAAAGCTCTGGAACTATTCGAAACAACTAAAGGATATCAGAACCCCGTTACTTGGAACTCAATGATATCAGGTTACAATCAAAATGCTCAACATGAAGATGCGCTAAAACTGTATCTAAAAATGCGTCGTGTACCAATCAGCCAAACGAGGTCTACATTCTCTGCCCTTTTTCATGCATGTTCCTGTCTTGGGTCTCTACTGCAAGGAAAACTTATTCATGCACATCTGATTAAAACCCCATTTGACACCAGCGTTTATGTCGGGACGGCACTTGTGGATATGTATTCCAAATGTGGAGCCATTTTTGACGCTAAAGCATCATTTGTTGGAATCGTTTGTCCAAATGTTGCAGCTTGGACAGCTTTGATCAATGCATACGCACACCATGGCCTCGGCCTTGATGCAATCCTACTCTTCAAAGATATGTTGGAGCAAAAGGTACTATGGTTACTGGGTTACGGTTTTGTCAACTCTTCAACACCCCAAACATCTCATCATGGTCTGAAGAGGCCCTTCATAGTTGGATTGTTGGGATGGTAGAAGTCTCTTGTTTATCATGAAATAGAATTATAAAAGGAATCATGGCCATTGAACTACAAAAAACCAATCCTTTTTCTTCTTACTCCCTTAACTGGTAAGCTGTAATGCTAAGCTTTTATAGACTAAAAGCGACACACAAAGCAAAACTATATTTCCCATAAAGACCAATGTCAAACATTATGGCTTTTCATTTGAACTCATAGATAGTTTGTTAATGTGTGCTCAATTGGAGGAGCATTAGCACTAGTAGCATCAGCAGTTGGATTGTTCTGTTACAAACACCTCTTCAGATGTAAAATATTCTGTTACAAGGATCCACACCCATTATAGGGACCAGTCGGATCCTTATATTGGGGCCCATATAAAAATAAGGATCAGATGAACTCTAACACAATATTAAGAGTTTAAGACATAGAGTTTATTATAAAAGATCCAACTGTCCGACAAGATATGAAGAGTAACCCAATTCTTTTAAGATGGTTTGATATTTTTAAATTTAGCTGAGTTGGGTCTTACCGTTCAATAGGTACATCCAAACGCAGCAACAATGGTCGCGATACTGTCTGCTTGTACACACGTGGGCATAGTGAGTGAGGGCATGAGATTTTTCCATGAAATGGAAACACGTTACGGCATAACTCCCAGTCTAGAGCACTTCACATGCATAGTGGATCTTCTTGGTAGAACAGGCCATCTACTGCAAGCTGTGGAACTAGTAAAGGCTATGCCATTTGAAGCTGACAGAGTACTACTCATAGCTCTCCTCAATGCGTGTTATTTCTGGTTGGATATGGAAGTTGGTGAAAGGGTTGCAGAGAAACTGTTGCGTTTGGACCCCATCACCATGTCTGGCTGCATCATAATGTCAAACATGTATGCTGGTTTGGGTAGGTGGGGCAGGAAGATGCGGACAAGGAATGCTTTGAGAGAAATCGAAGTGAAGAAGCCTCCGGGTTGTAGTTGGATGGAGATAAATGACAGAGTTTATGTGTTTTCTGTAGACGATAGAACACATCCAAGTCGTTACCATGTTTGCTCAACTTTAGAACATTTAATGGCTAATGTGATGAACTCAAGTAACCCTTCTGTTTTCAGCCCTTCCTAATTAACTGAAGCTAATTGGTTTAGTTGCCGTTCATTATCCATCTTGCTCAGTCTTGCAGATAAAGAATCTGCTATGTGCTATACAGCTGCATTACCGGTCTTGTTAGATTCTAGGATTTTCTTCGACTTTCTAACTATCATCAGGTAATATCATTATACTCAGTAAATATTTTACTTGACTTGTGGAGTTTTCATTAGGAATAAATGCCCAAAAAATAGAATTACTTTTGATATGTAGTTTAAGAAATGAAGAGCATTTTATTTTAATTTTATACGGAACCTGCACATATGCGACTGAGTAGCTCACTCCATTGTGTGTTAGTGACATAAAATATTAAAATAAATAAGCGGAACCGTGGATATTGGAAGCTAAAAGATTGTTCATGTTTGATAGATATAAGTCTCCTCCTTCTAATTTTATATGGGAAAAATTCACATGAATAATCCCAATTTGATGATCCCGTATTTCCTTTCTGGGCCGTCCCAAATTGATAGTCTCATTTCCCTTTTTTGGAAAGAAATATGTGGTCCACATCATTTCACATTTTTCTACTCAAATCTCAATCACAACTTTTACCTTTTCAACCACTTCCTTAATCTTTGAGCCCAAAAGAAATGGGATCATCAAATTGGGACAGAGGGAGTATACGGTATATCTTCTTATATTACAGAGGTGACCTGCACAAACCTATTTAACAGGTCAGCTAGCCACATGGCTTATTTCAGTATTCTTATAGTTTTACTTCCGTTTACTTCTTTTTCTCTTCCCTTTTCTCTTTCCCCACATCCCACCCGCCTGTTTTTTTTCTTCTTCTTCTATTTCTCCTTTCTCCCGGCGAGTCAACTCAGTACTCCTTTCTTCCCACTTGAATCTCCTGTCCGTCTCCAACTTTATTTTCTTTTTTTGATTTTTCCTTTTTCTTACTCTCCGATGGCAGCTCTTCAGTTTGAGCTTTGGTAAGCACTGTAAGGGAGTCTTTGGATTCGAGATTGGGTCGGGTCCCATGGTCATGAGCAAGAAATGATTTGAATTTAATGTTTTGTGTTTCTAGTCGCTGGAATTTGGCCGGTGTTTCGCCGGAGAAGATCACCGAACTCTGGAGTAATGAAGTCTTTGATTTCACTCAACTCTGCTCATGATTGTCATGAGGGTACGTTGTGCTCTATTGTCAAGGCCCGTCAATAGCATATTTGCATCTGAATTAATGGGATTAAAGAAGTTAAAGAAAAGAGATTGTGAAAACTACAGAGAAAAACTCAAGACTCCATGGGTATGACTGTATGTCTGCTATGGATTGTGACTGTTATGATTTAGAATGGGATTATGAAGAAAAAACGGGTGAAAGTGTAGGCAAAGTAAGAAAAAAGAGGGGAAGTAGGATCAAATTCAGGAAAGAGGAGCAAAACATGGAATTGACTGCCTGGCATAGATGAACAACTTTTCTCTTTCTCTTTTTAAATGTTTTTACCGGTTTGGTAGGTATGAGGTCAAGTAGGATCAACTTGAGAAGACAGTTCATAGTTGGGATTAATGATGTGCATTTTTCCGTATTTATTTATCTTTATTTTATCCGTTTTATCTTACTTTTTCTCTCTCTCCTTGTCCGTCTCTCTGTTTGGCATCGATATCATAGATCGATTCATGTTAGCCGACCCCAAATTCTTTTGGGATTAAGGCTTGTATGTTGTTGTAATAAGTTTTTAGTGAAAGATAATACGTTTGGCATCCTATAAAACCCCAACGAATATGTGTCTTTCTTTGGAGATTATGATTCAAATGCTTTCCTTTTCCCTCTAACTTACACAATATTTTATGCTTCGGTTCCTTCAATGTGTCATCTTTGTAAAACTGATGAAGTCTCCCCTGAAAATGTTATACTTCACTGTTACTTTGTTGCTAATATTTGGAAGCATTTCAGTTACCTACTACTTAATGATGGAGGGCTAATATTTTTGCAAGCAAAATGTTTTCCCTTTCAGTTTATAAGTTTATAAGTAGTTTATAAGATAGTACGTAGTATTTGTTAATCCTTCAGTCATCAATCTTTTCCATGTTGGAAGCGCTGAGGTAGAAATACCCAAGTATCTAGTGTTGTAAATAGATTGAGGATGGGACGAGGTGGAGGACATGGTCAAGGCATGGCATATAAAGGTGTCACTATCCACCAGCCTAAGCGCTGGCATGCCATCACCGGCAAGGGCTTGTGTGCCGTCATGTGGTTTTGGGTTCTGTACAGAGCCAAACAGGATGGACCAGTAGCCTTGGGCTGGAGACATCCCTGGGATGGTCAGGGAGATCATGGATATGATCATTAGATGTTCCAGTTTGAAGCAAATATATGATCCCATTATTTAGCTCTTACTTTTAGTGAACTTTTGATGTATGCTTACCGGGATGAATGTACTCTTGTTTGATTTCTTTTGGTTTCTATGAGTGACCGGAGAAGAGATTATACATTATGATGATCCAAAAAACAATTTATTTTGAATCTCTTTTGAACTCTGCAATCATTTCTAGTTGGAGAATAAAAATATGGAAGGTTTGGTTGTTTTTTTATCAAAAAAAAGTATACAAGTGTCAAGTATATATGAATCCAGGGGCGGACCTATTATAGGTCAAAAGTGTTCATGTGAACACCCAAATTTTGTAACTGGTAGTGTAAAAATACATGTTTATGGGTGCTATTGTAAAAATTTCTATATGTATGCGAACACTCAAATTTTATAAAATAAATTTGAACCTTCAAAACTAACATCCAAGATCCGCCACTGTATGAATCACTTGTGAGCTCATCAATATGTCTTGAACTAAAAGATATGCGTCAATTAAAAAGTAATCACCTTTGCTTCTTGTCAGATATTGAACTAATATCTAACCTGGTTTATATTTGATTTAAGAAATTGTCGTATTCCCCATTGAACTGTGAATATGCTATTGATGTGTATGTGTACAAATTCATTTTCATAAAAATCAGCACAATATATGCAGCCATTGAGATAGTAATTTTCCTTCACTTGATATGCACAAACGCCACAAAGGTATGTCATATGTTTCCATCTTCAAGTCATTTTCGGTTGTGCTTTTTAATTATGTGTTACCTTTTAAATACATACTGTGTCTAATATTCAAGTTTCGAGGATTCTACATCAATATGCTAATATGTTGTAATATGATGCTCAATACGGCATGGCTTAATCCGGGTTTTCAAAATATGATCATGCTTCTTACAATATATATAACTTACCTTTTAGTTTTAAATTTTCTCTGCAAGCTAATAAGTCTTTCATTCGATTTTAATTAACCATTTTTTCTAACATTTTTATCTGGACCACTGCATTTTAGACAGCAACATGCATACAAAATATAAAACATGCATGTACTCCTAAAATACATCACTAGACTCAGGGGGTGTTCGGATCTGATTCTTAAAACTGCTTCTGCTCCTTCAGGGAGTAGAAGCAGAAATTGGAGTGTTTGGGTGAAAGTGCATAAGTGATTCTGGTGCTCTAATTTACTCTTAGAATCAATCTTTTTAGAAGCTGGGGGAGACCAGTTTCTGAAAAATGATTCCGATTCTGCTTGTGCTTTAAAAGTAATGACCACTCTCAGATGTGGCCTTCATATCTGTTGGAGTATCTACTCTTTATGAAGCTTCACCATTAATTCATAGACTGTAGTAGTTGTTTTTACTTGCTACAGAATATTTCTCAATAACTATGTTCTTCAAAAGATGCTTTATTTTCTCGGTTTATCTCTATACTATACGTATTATAAAACATGCATTTTTATAGATCCAAAACTCATGAGTTCAAGTGTGAATGTCTAATGTAAAATTAGAATCGTAAAAATGTAAACTATTTATAGTGTGTGCCAAAGTGTGTGCAAGAAAATGGTACAAATAACAATTTTCTTTTATTGATGGATAATTATGAAGACCCTTAATAATAGTTAATATGACTCAAGAGAAGTCGTTGGTAAAGTTGGGATCTTCTTTTCATCACCCTATAACACGATCAATTGTATGTGGTGGTCTCCAGAGTAATAATAAGTCTGTTATAAGAATACACACCAATTATAGGGACCAGTCTGATCCTTATTATAAAAGGTCCAACTGTCCAACAAGATATGAAGAGTAACTCAATTCTTTTAAGATGGTTTGATATTTTTAAATTAAGCTGAGTTGGTACTTACCGTTCAATAGGTACATCCAAACGCAGCAACAATGGTGGCGAAACTGTCTGCTTGTACACACATGGGCATGGTGAGTGAGGGCATGAGATTTTTCCATGAAATGGAAACACATTACAACATAACTCCCAGTGTAGAGCACTTCACATGCATAGTGGATCTTCTTGGTAAAACAGGCCATCTTCTGGAAGCTGACAGAGTACTACTCATAGGCTCATAGGTCTCCTGAATGCGTCGTGTTATTTCTGGTTGGATATGGAACTTGGCGAAAGGGTTGCAGAGAAGCTGTTGCGTTTGGAGCCCGCCACCATGTCTGGCTGCATCATACTACCTACGTCCCGCTAAAATTGTCCCATTTTACTATTTCGGCCCGTCCAACTAAGATTGTCCCATACCTTATTTGGTAATGTTTGTGTGGCTTTAAAACATTCTCACTTTATCAATTCAATATCAACCACATAAACCACTTTTTATAGATTTGCGTGTCACTCTCTCTTGTCCCATTGTTGGTGGGAGAATGTCAAACATGTGCGCTGGTTCGGGTAGGTGGGGCAGGAAGATGTGGGCAAGGAACGCTTTGAGAGAAATCGAAGAAGCCTTCAGGTTGTAGTTGGACAGAGATAAAAGCCATAGTTTATGTGTTTTCTGTAGACGATAGATGTATAGAACACATCCAAGTCGTTACCATGTTTGCTCAACTTTAGAACATTTAATGGCTAATGTGAATATGCTAAAGTCGTTACCATGTTTGCTCAACTAGAGTTAATGAACTCTAGTAATCGTTCTGCTTTTAGTACATGTTTGCCATTCATTATACATCTTGCTCACTCTTGCAGATAAAGAATCTGCTATGAGCTATAGTGCTATCCTAATGCATTTTCGGTCTTATACTCTTATTAGATTGTAGGTTTTATTTGACTTTCTAACTATCATCAGCCTGGCCGTAGATGAGGGCGTGCAAGAAGTGCTAGTGCACAAGGCCTCTCGATTTCAGAAGGCCCAAAATTTTAAATAGTCTATATAATATAATAAATATTTTTCCTTTCCGATGTATAAAAAAATATAATAAATCTTTATTTATTTGATTGAAAATTCCTATCTTAGTACCTTTTTAAATGCAAACATTAAATAATAATATTTATATGTAATTAAAATGAAATTGTTAATTACAATTGTGTAATTTCTTTATTTCACAAGGTCTAGTTACAGTAATTAGTTCAAAGCCCTTGTACAGTTTGGAAGAACTTGTAACTACTTTCTTTTTCATACTTTGTCAATTTACTTTCTTAATATATTCTTTTTTTTTTTTACTTTTTCATTTACCTTGCACCTCTATACTACACCTACTATTTTCTCTCTAAAACCCACAAAAAATCTAAGGAAACTATTATTTAAAAACGGTGGAAGTATTACTATAGTGTTTTATACTTTAGGGTCTCATATTCAATCTTGCATATGGCCTTTTATATGCCATGACCGGCCCTGTCGACATCAGGTAGTATCAAACTAAATATTTTACTTAACTTGTGGAGTTTTCATTAGGAATGAAATGTTGAAAAACAGAATTACTTGTGATATGTAGTTTAAGAAAATGAAGAGCATTTTATTTTAACTTGATATAGAACTTGCACATATGCAACTGAATAGTTCACTATTTTACTCCAATGTGTCTGCTAAAATATTAAAATAAATAAGCGGTAATAGTGTTTATTGGAGGCTAAAAGATTTTATATGGGTGATTTACAAATAATAATTAATTAATTGGTATATAGTTATTTTAACTTTCAAGCATGGAGATGCTAACTACATGGGCACTTTTTGTTGCTCATTATCTGGCCATTCCATTTCTGATTTCTCTCTTAGGTCACCAACTTATTCTTCTAAAAAAAATCACACTAATAATAATTTTTTTAAATGTCTTTCTACAGTTTGATTCAAATAAAAAGGAGGCTTAACGTATAAAATGAGAATTAATCTGAGCCGTCCAAATTTTTAATCCGATGCATAACAATCATTATCTAATGCACTGTGCATTAAAACTTATCTGATGCACATTTCAAAAAATTGCATCAGATAAGCTTTAATGCACAGTGCATTAGATAATGATTAGTGTGCATCAGATTGAAAATTTGGACGATTTAGATTAATTCTCATTTTACACGTTAAGTCTCCTTTTTATTTGAACCATCTCCTATCTTTCTAAACCTACTATATCTATCATTGTATTTGCTCATATTAATGTCAATTGAGATGAGACTTGAAATTGCAACCTTCTTTTTGGGAAACTAGAGTGATACCATCAAAGTACAATGTAATTTGAGAAATATATTGTTGTTGAACAGTGTTAAGATTAATAGTCAATACTAATAATTAATTAATTATGTTACTATTTGGGAATTGGGTCTCGAGAGTTGGTCAGACCAAAATCAAAACAAGACCGAATCCGCCCATGTCCAGGCCAATTAGTTGAGTTATATTCTCTTTGTCCCATTAAGATTGTTCCATCCTTCTTTTTCGATCTGTCCAACTAGTATTATCTCAATCAATATCAACCACATACCCCACTTTCTTAATTAGAGCGTGCCACCCTCTCATGTCTCAGTGTTAGTGAGCCGGAGGTAGTAGTATTTTCCCCTGTTTTTCTCCTAAGGTATATCATTAACGAAACAATATGTTTACTTTTAAATACTCCGTATAATTCTGTGCGGGTTGTTAAATTAATTTATCTATCATGTGCAACTAGGGTTGTTAATGAACCGAACTTTTATCGAACTATACTAGTTCGAGCTCGGTGTCGAACCTAACGAGCCGAGCTTAATGAGCTTTCGAACTCGAATCCGAGCTGAGTTTTAAGTTCGAAAAATTAATCGAGCCGAGCTCGAACATAATAGTATTAGGCTCGGTTCGAACTCGAGTTTATCGAACACCCTGAAATTATAAATATAATTTATATGTCAAAATTTAAATATAATTAGTATGATTTTATGAATTTAAATATAATTTTTAACGAACTGAATACTTGTCGAATCATTCGAGCACGAGCCTATTAACGAGCATCACCTAAAATGTTAAATTTGAGCATATTTATCGAGCTTATCGAGCGCTCGGTTCGAACATCGAACACCTATCGAGCCGAGCACGAGCCTCATTTGTAAAGCTCGCCGAGCTTCGAGCTCGAACCCGAACACCACTAATTTCTTATCAAGCCGAACTCGAGCTTTGGGTATTCGGGCTCGGCTCGTTAACAACCCTATGTCCAACTATGCACATGAAACCTTCCACCAAGTAAATAATCAAAAGCTGTGTCATTTGTTTCAAAAGAAATCACACATCACTTAGGAGGATGATAGTTTTTATTTTTTAAGCTTTGTGAGAGTAATTAATATGGTTATCATGTGGATGCAAAGATTCATACTACGTATGATAGAAATCAATTAAGTTTAAGGAAACTTTAATTTATGAGGTAAACTTATGGACTTGTTCGATTAGATACCATCATCACCACATTATCTCACTAATAATACACTCATGGGCATATTTGCAATTCAAATGAAGTGCCTTCTAGCATTTTTTATCATCATAGTTCATGCGATACTTATATCGTAATAATTAGTAATTACCTTCTTTTTATAAACAAAGAAAAAGATGTGACTATTTTTCTCTTTATAATGTGTAGTTACATACTTACATTACATATATGTGATTATGATACAACAAATGATTATTGTTACAACTGACAATCACAAACACATGTATGTGTGAGTTTAAATATTTAATCATTGATTGAGGATGGGTAGAATTTAATTAATTTGATGGTTTAGAAAATATCTGCGAAGATAATCCAACCGTTCAGGATGTTTGAGCTTCATCAATGCTTTCATCTCGTGCTTCCTTACCATCTCTCTTGAAATATTTAGGTTTCCTGCAATCTCTCCCAATGTTCTTTCGCCTCTACCATCTAGTCCATATCTTTGTCTGATTACAATGCTTTCTTTCGGGTTCATCGAATCAATCTGTTACAAATGATTTGCCAAATTGGAAGTCATCACATCTTGTATCATAAATATGTAAAAAGATATTCAAATCATCAATTAGTTATTGCAATATTTGATCTAATAATTGAATAATGATATTTAAGAATGAAGTAAAGCAGGAGGCTGTATCTTTTTATTTGATCTAATAATCTATTATTGTATGCTAAGATGATATCAATATGCATTGATAAATGTAAAAAAATAAACCAGCATAAAAAACTTTGTTCCAAATTCATCATAAGACGATATTACACCGTTTTGTTTTGATAACCTTTAGGACGTGTATTAAATAATCTTCAACTTAATCTAGGTATATTTCCGGTATAGTTTCTATAGTCATGCACTCATGCCACGTAACAAGAATAGTTAATATCGTATAGTATGTCCACCGGACCACCAAGATTTCAAGGAAGAAATAAAAGAACATACCACATCATCAAGAGCAATTCTGAGAAGAGCAAGTTGTTGCCTCTTATCAGCATATTCAACAGCATCTGTATCAGCTATTCCATTGATAAGCTCTTCTTGTGTGATGGGATCCCTTGCGTGGAGAGAAGAAACCGGTTTTGATGCTTTCATCACTTCATGATATCTATTAAGGGAGATTCCTACTCTTTCTGCTATTTCTTCTTCTGTTGGCATTCTATTAAGTGCAAACGATAACTCTAATTTGGCCTTCTGGATTTCAGATCTTACCTGAAATCAAATGAAAATTACATATATAGTTTCATTGTTTATAAGAATCTATTTTTAAATAATAGGTTTTCCACTTTTCCTACAGTCTTATTAAACAAAACACTAGACAAAAACTGGTTATATGGTTTGCTGTGAAACTATAATAGTCACTGAATAGTAAAAAGAAAAATCACCAATTACTACAATGACAATCACATTTTTTTCCACAATTTTATTTTAGATATATGCGTAGTATTATTCATCATTTCTTTAATTAAACCCATCGGAACACAATACATAAGAGCTAGAGTATGAGTCTCAGCATTAAAATCTAGACAATAAGATCAGAAGATTCATAATGTCCGGCGTGAAATACTTGTAACACATTCTCCATGTACTTGAGTCAACTTGACCGATGAATTTCATGAATTAGATGCAAGTATTTATAATAGCTGTAGTAGAAAAGCACTCACTGACTCAAGTCCGTAAGGGACTTTAATGAAGCTAGAAAGGGTCATGGAACGTATGATTGTGTGTCTAATCCAAAAGAGTGCATATGTTGAGAGCTGCAACCTTCTTTTTGGTTCGAATCGATCAATGGCTGTAATTAGTCCCTTCACACCTGCCTGACACATGTCTTCAAACTTCGGACTATTTGCAAACTCTTGAAAATATTTGTTGATGACAAACACCACAAGTCGGAGATTATGCTGCAACATATTCAAACATGTTATCTAAAGAACATTTGAAATAGCTCACCTAAAATCTCTCATGGTGGCACAGCCAGGCTTCCCCCTTAGCTACGCCCTAACCTCTCATAATGAGAAAATTAGCACAACACACACACATGCGTGTGCGTGTGTGTTTATTGCTATGGACTTCAACTACATAAATTGGTTGAACTCTAGGATGGCTTAACATGTTCTCATAAAATAGTTGCTCATTGAAAGTTGAAATGCGCAATCTTGAAATTCATGAGCTTGTTGTTGAGACTTACCTACTTGCTCATTGGAGCTTAATATGCTTTGTTACCATATTAAGACTTTAATAATGTGTTTGTTGTTGAGACTCACTTGCTCATTGGAGCTTAAATATGCTTCGTGATCATCAATA